TCGGAGAATTTACATTTACAGATTTATTTTATATAAACCTGATGGGAATTTTTACAAGCTATTGAAATTCGTAGCATTTATCGGTTTTAAATTAACAGAAAAAAAAGAAATATAAAGAAATAAAAAAATCTTGAAGAAAATTCAAGCAATTTGAGCGGGCCAAATTAATCACAGGTTATTTGAACTTTTCCACGTCATTCTAATTTAAATTAAGCGATTTTCTCTTAAGCTCGCCTTCCTAAGTTCCGTCCTATTTTCGACCTGAATACATATTCATCGCGTCGCAGCACAGCGTCGTCCACTCGTCGACACGCCGTGAAACCTCAATTAAGACGGCCATGCGAAAGAAGCCGGCGGGTTTCTCGGTAGAAAAATTCCTTCCTGAAAATTCGTCATGGATCTACGCGCGCGTGTCAACTTATTTCGCCAATTCGCCGGTACTTTCTCCCGGATCCTGAAGCACACTCCACGGCGCGAAACATTCCTCGGCCCCGGTATCCTCCGCTCTCTACGCGAGAGAGCTCTCAGCCGCCCCGTTCCTAAGGTTATCTACCCGACTTCTCTCTCTCGTCGTCTTCCTTCGCCCACCGTCCTCGCTCGATCTCGGGCTGGCTGCCGTGCCTCTCGGCACTCGAATCTTTTGCGGGCCGCGAGTTAGCGCGTGCTCAGCCGCGCTCTGCGCTCCTCTTCGCGCCCGCGCAAAAGAATGATAGCTTCGCTAATAGGTAGATTAGCCACGCGTAAATGTTACGGTAATACGATTAACGTCGGAGAAAGGTCGACGCTAATTAATACATTGCGCGTAGCTCGCTCTCGGGCGAGTCGCACGGAGCTTATCTTGAAGACTCTTTAATTTAAGACTTGTTACACAGAAAATAAGCGTCTAACGTAACAAACTGAGAACGAGGTTTCGTTACTTTAAATGACATTTCACTCGATTCGGAGAATTACGTGGAGATATAATGTCATGAATGACATCTGCCTATAGCCTTTCACAGTGCTATTGACCTTGGTAGAAGCTTCTTCAACGTGAAAGTAATTTTAAGAATATTTATCTGTCCAATGTACACTACTGATAATCTTTCTTGCGTAAAGTCTTTAATTATAAAATAAAAAAAGGCTGTCCTATATATGTATATTGCTTTTTTTGGGCCAATTATTCATTTTGCATACCATTTATGAATTAACTAATATTGCATTCTTTATGTTTTATTTTTTGTTTTTTAAACATATTTATATTAACAATAACAAAATTAAAATATTAATTGTGATAATATTGCGATATTGAACGTTCGTTCTCTCGAAACAATTCACCGTCGCCCTAGCCGTCTGGCGAGCACGGAGTAGACGGAGTCCGGGGAGTAAGCAGGAGCCCCTGACCGTGGAAAGCAGAAAGAACTCAGGAAGGAAAAGAAGCCGCGGCACCCGAACCCACCGGCGGTGGGTAGCGCGCGTTCAAGGGCCCGCGATGGTAGTGGGGCATCCGCGAGAGGGAGACCGGCCGGCTCTCGCGCCGCCGCCAACAGCGAGGAGAAAGAGCGACGATACATACTCGTGCACACGTACATATCCGCGTACACGTACCGCGAATACAAGTGGGGGAGGGGGAGGGACGGCGGGGAAGGGGGGGCGATCATTCTCGGAACTCGGGTGACCTCCCCCGGTGCAACTGGCGAACAGCCGGACCCGACGGGTTAACTGTACAACCACTTATATACCTCGACGCCGTAGGAATGCGGCGACGATGATGCCGTCGTCCCCATGAAATAACGCGCGACACGCCGCGGCATGACATACCTCTCGCCGGGAACCCTGCGTGCCCGCGCGAGAGAGCCCGCGGGAAGAAAGAGAGAGAAAACCACCTTGTATATACACTGGATGATCTCTGCGCGGATCACGTCATTCATTCACCTGTGCCGCCTGTACCGCTGACCATCTCTGCCGAACCCGTCGACGTTCTGCTGTCAGCTCGCGCAACTGATCTATTGTTCCCTGTAAATCCCGTCGCTCGCGGTCGTTCGCGGATCGACGATTCGCGACGCGAGTCGGATCGCGGAAGAGCCTCCCGTATCGCGTCTGAATCGCTCTGAGCCTCAGCTTTTTTTCAACTTGGATAGATCCGCTTGCGTTCACGTGATGATGAGACATTTTTGCGGACGTATCGATTTTTCGCGACATACAACAGCAACATTTTTACATTAGGAACTGGAAAGCAATATACAATATGTAGAGTAGACTTTTTATTATTTAGGCATTTAGATGTTTCGCTCTTGATAGGATAATCTCACTTTCAAACAATAATGTATAAAATTTCCAGAATCATTAATTAATTAATCATTAATTTTTAGTTTAAACTGTGAATAAAATAATTATGAGATAAAAAACGCAACTATCTTGAGCATAGGATAAAATTATTGGGATTTAATCCCAAAAATCCTGAAATATTACAGTTTTTATATTTGTATCGCTGTAATTGTTTGTGGGTTTGATTTATCTCTGAGCATGAAGGAGAGGTACATGCAAAATGCTATTTGTCAAGTCGTGAAATATGATTACTAACGACGATGAGTCTGAAGCCCCTGAACGGTTTGTTCGTTGCAGCGTTCGCCTCGTAAAGTCTGACGTTCATGAATATCGAATTACGGGAGCTAGATCGCGGAAGATCTTCGTTACCACGTTCCACGTACCAGAACCGAAGGGTTTTTCTTCGTTTCGGTCGCTTCGCGCGCGCACGCGGCTCTCTGTCCGGTTCGGCCGAGTCATTCATTCGAATAGTTGGGTCTCCTCTATGAAGCCCCGGTACCGTTTTCTCGCTTCTTATGGACCTTAGAATTGGATCATCTCGCTAACCGGACAAGTCTCTCGACCGTTCCCCCGGTCTTCAATTCAGCTCCGCTCGTGGGGTTCTTGCGAGGCTCCATAGTTCTAGTTTTATAGGAATACCATTACGCCGATCCTGAGAAGGTCTGTTGATGAAAAGAGAGAAAGAGAGAGAGAGAAACAGATAGCGTTGACGTACTCGTGACTGCAATGATTTCACAGCCGGATTATAATTGATTTCGAAGAAATATTATTAAGATTCGAAAGATAAATAAACTATATCTCGCAAAAGTTACAAAGTTTTGATTTACATATTTGAATTAATTTTCAATGTACTCTTGTATGTGTTTAAATGTAGGGAAATAGTTTGTCAAACGAGATCCGCACTTTCTCCTAGAAATATTCTCGTGCGTAACACGACGTATAAATAAATGCTCATTTTACGTCCAGGCGGAATTCAATCTATCCACGTCGATTCGTCCGCCGAGAGGCTTCCTCTCGCGAGCTCGCAAAGTTCAACCCGCGTTCCTTCGACTCGCTCGGAGTAGTGAATGGAAGGATTCGTCGCGGGATTGGCAGAATGCGCGCGGGGTTGAGAGCGCGGTCGGAGAAGCGATAATATTCCGAAGTTGAGGAGAATTCCGCGGCGGCGGTGTGCAATATGTGAGATATCCCGCCGCGGCTTGCGCCGTGTTAGATTGTGTACGCGATCCCGTCGTTCATTCACCTGTTACGTCTCTCTCCCGCCGCTCCTTTCCTCCCTCGCTCCGTCTCGCTCGTTCACTCGCTCGCTCGTTCGTTCGCTCGCTCGCTCGCTCGCTCTCGCTGCCTGCCTTTCTCCCTCATTCTTCGACGTGATTCTACCATGCTATTACTTGTACCATAGATCACGCTCGGCGGTCCGCGAGGTCGCGGAAAAGAGAGACAGAGATGAACGGAGGTCGAGGAAAGAGGTCTCGCGAGCTTGCAGCTTGAAGCTGCAACGTTCCATCTCTTCTATATCGATCGCGTCACTAACGCGTCATGTGATTATTTTTGCGAATATCATATACGAATTGTTTTTGAGATGCCTCGCGCATTTTATCTTAATTATATATTTAAAAAATTATGTAAGATTATATCTTAATATTCATAGATTTGAAGATTAATTAATGATCAATCTTTATATATTGATTTATAACTAATTATTTAAATTAATCTATTAACTTATATCACTTTATGTATAAATATAATATGAAAGCCTGAGTGATCTATAGCGAATTGCGATTTTCGCAACAAATATTTCAACAGATAATTATTAATGTCAATGATATACGTTACGCATTAACGTCAATTTACTCATGACTACACCGCCAATGATTTTACCTCGTTGCCGGGCGTTACAGTCCGCGTAACTGGAAGCGAAACTCGAGGCTTTGTCGTTCATTGACATCTTATTTATGAGCGGCGATCCTGGTCGAGTAAGCTTAGCCGTTCTTCGGTGGGCATGAAAGAGCGAGCGGTACATACGGCTGGATCTAGAGGAAGCCTCGCGGCTCTCCAGGCGCTTCGGTCCGATCGCGGAGATGGAAAAATCTGGAGAATGTCGAAGCCGTCGACCAGTTTCAAGAACTCACTGCCACGTCGGAGAAAGAGAGAGAGAGAGAAAGAGAAAGAGAGAAAATGTATGTGTGTGTGTTTGTGTATGTAACACGCGCAATTTGATTCTAACGCGGAGGAGCCATCTTGTCTCCTTCGGTTTCGTTCTTATCGCGCTAAGTGCTTTCCTCTTTCTGTCTCCCTGTCTCTTACCTTCGCTTTTTCCTAATCCGATGGCGGTGGAACGGCCCCTATTTTTGCATACCGCCGTTGCAGTCCATCGGATTTGCACAACCGTACGGAATTCACGAACGGATGCTTCTTGCGCTCGGTGCAAAATCAGGATATCTTGATACGACTGGCACGGAAATGTCGCAATACTTTTGTGTGCTGGAACGTCTTTGATTGCGTCAACTTCGTTAAAGAATCGTTCATTGCTATAAATAACGTATTATATAGAATATGCAAGACAATCTTGTCACTGAATGCTATTTGAGAAATTTTTTCTTAGAAAATTTTAAAGCAAACTTTCGTACTTCTAGTTCGTATTTAATGTATACGCAAATTAAAAGTAACACTCGACATTCTGAATTTTGTTACAGAAATCTAGCGATCGGGATCGGAATACAGAACTTCCCTGAAGGACTGGCGGTGTCCTTGCCCCTTCAAGCCGCCGGGATTAGCACGCTGAAGAGCTTCTGGTACGGCCAGCTCTCGGGGATGGTGGAGCCCATTGCCGGTGTCCTCGGGGCGGCCGGGGTGACGCTCGCTGCACCTGCGCTACCTTATGCACTTGCCTTCGCGGCCGGTGCGATGATCTACGTTGTGATCGACGACATTATCCCGGAAGCGCATCAAAGGTATGTACCGTATAATCCACTTGCCCGGAAAAACTTGAAACTGCGAAGCGACTTCTATTTACGCTTTTTTTTGCAATGCTCAAAATAACGGTCACTTAACTCGCTTCCAAGATCGTTGCCAACGAGATATAGCAGTCACTCATAATAAATGGCGCGATCTCGAGTTTAGTCGAGCCTTAAAGCCATTCGGAAAAAATCGATAGATAATAAACCTGTTGAGCGTTTCCGATATCGACTACAACTGTACTTCCGATAAGGAACCTTATGGTCGCGCATGATTACATCGGAATACTCGGGAAAATGCACGTGTTATTGAAAAAGCGTGGAAGGTGGTGTTGAATGCAGAAGGGTGAAGCCGGTTTGAGCAAAGGGAGTTGGGCGCAACTCGTTCCCTTAACTGGTTCCGGCTTCTCCTCGTTCTTTCTTCTCGCCCTACTTCTCTCTCTTTCTCTCTCTCTCTCGATCTTTTCCTCTTCCTCTTCGTTTTTTTAAACACCATTCGTACCAGAGGCACCAGTCCACGGTGCACTTGCACCCGTTTCCATCTCACGTTTCACCCTCGGTCCATTCACAACGAATTAGAAGTCCAAGCCCAGTCTCGGAGTCAGAAGGGCGGAAGGCGCTTTTCCCACCGACACAATGGCCCTTTATTTCGGGATTTATTCCCGCGTCTTCGGACGCGGACGCGGGGATAGCCGCTCGATGGCGGTCTTTCGACAACATGCGCGCCTCTGATCGTCCTTCTCTTTGAGTCATCTTCTCATTCGTGATGATAATGATAATAATTTCATTTTTATTGTTGCTTCTTTACCTTTATTAGAAATATTATCTACGCCAGAAGAAAAGTACGTAATCAATTATGCAAATCGGTTTAGAGAAATTGTCTTCTCAGCGTGGCAATTCGTAAAATTTCGTATTTATATATACCTTTTCTATATTTCTTTTTTAACTTGTCAGATTTAAAATTTATATCTAATTAACTGAAAATAATTTCTCTCATCCGTTTCGTGCCGACCATTTAATTTTATACATTACGGTAATAGATTATCATCCATCGCTGCGATTCTTTTAATTATGACTCTTTCAATCTAACGTGACGACGAACGTTGTAACTCATTACTGTACACTCTTTACTCTTGCGTTCTTCGCGATTCCGAAGTAGCTAGAATTCAGCGAGATCGTTCCGGCGACCGCGCGAAACGTCCGGAATCCGTTTCGACCGGTGCGGGAGCACCGAAGCGCATAAATATAGAGAGGAAAAAAATTCGTGTCGCGTATGTCCTATGAATTTCTGCTCGTGTCAAGCGGACGCGCGCACATGTACCCTAACACATACGTACTCCGCGCGCACAAATGTAACCTAAGTATCTACGATGTCCGTATATATATTCGAGAGCGATTACGGTACAATGGCGCGTGACGGCAGTGCCGTAGTTAGCGCGCCGTCGGCGAAACGGACGTGGCGAATTTCTTTCCCAGGCCTGGCGGCGGCCTAGCTGAAGAAGGTGCATTGTCATTATAATTGGCTCCTTTTGTATTTCGCGTGCGATCTAACCGCTCGGATACTCGAGCGCGAGCGCACGGTGTACGCGCGCTCTCTCTCTCACTCTTTTTCTCGTCGCGATTCTCTCGTCGAGGATCCCCTGAGACAGTCGGCCTCAACTCGCTCCCTCGGGAACCCTCCGGGTGGCCGGAAAACACAAAAGTGAAAACAGATCGCTCGCTCTCTCCCGCTCTTTCCTCCGCTTCTCCGTGGAAACCGTTGCTCGACTCGTACGTAAGGCGAGTCAACGCGAGCACGCGATTCCTCTTCGAAGAAAGTCAAGTTCAGTTCGAACTCGGTTTGCATTTGCATAGATGCGCGCGGATGTCCAACCTTCGCTTTTCTAATGTACTCTTCTACACTGCAGATATTTTCGAAATTCTCAACAATGATCATCGCCGAGAAGCGTATACTTACGAGCCTTTTAGAAGTACACGGAGTCTCCTTATTTATATCTTCGCATACACAAATATGAATACTGCGTATTATTAGCAAATTGTTATTCCTAAGAAACGGCTATGAATACGCGTCTAAGTGCCGTAAGTGCCCGACTCGCAACCTGCAATATTTGTGTTACTGTCGAGCTACCAGAGTTACATAGTTGCTAAATCCACACTTGCTTCATTTAAACGACGTGTAGAAAAATTATGGGCTGAGCAACTTGCGTCGATGACTTTTGTAGCGGTTCTGTCTCGGTTGGAAAAAGCTTCTTTAGCGTTTACATCGTGCTAGAATTATAAAAATAGCGGAAAAAACGTTACAAAATTATCGGCGCGCTTACATGACCGAAATTAGGCCGCAATATTAACTCGAGTCGGAGAAAAGGAGACAATACATCGAAATATACATGAGATTCCTTCGAAATCTCTCGAGACCGCGATACCCTCGACGTGGAGCACCGGCAAAAATCGACGCTCAGCTCGGCTCGATTCGGTACGATCGCCCCTCGTGCAATTTGCATTTTTCTCTGCTCGGCGAAAAGGAACGCCTGCTTCGCCGATGATACCCGTTCGCTACATGTTCGACGCGGCCGAGCAACGTAGGGATATTTAAATTTATTATCCTATCTCTCGAAACTTTCACTTGCTCGCAATCGGATTGTCAAGTTAGCCGACGTTTCCTTCTGCAACCGTGCAGTTTCGATTATGGCTACTAAAGTAGAAAAGAAAGTACCGAATCAATGAGAAATCGATGCGCTTTAATGTACGGATTGTTCGGTAACGCGGTGCGCCGATGCTCGAACGTGAATAGTTTTACAAGTTTTTAAGGAATCAGGAAGTGCGCGAAGTACACATTAGAATTTTATTACCGTCCGCGAAGAGAATAACGTGCTGTCGGTATCGCGTGAATCGCGTCATACGCCGAACGGAGGATAAGTCGGATCGAGGATCGGCTCTTAGCGGATGCATTTAGCGGATGCGGAACGCGACGCGACTCGACGCTGCGCCCCAGTTTCGCCGAGTAAGCGACGACGACGACGACGACGATCGGCAAGAGCAGGAGGGGGGGGGGAGAGCGAACGTTGTTATCCCGGCTACCATTGCGATGAGACACGATAATAGCCAATAAAAATACAAATTTTCTGACGCACACCGAAAGGAGGTATTTACCGCGCGGATATGATTGATGTGGTAGAACGCCCACCGAAATACAACGGCGCGTTTCGCCGGCCGTTAAAATTGATGGCCGTGTATAATTTACGAAATCAACAAGCCGTGACGTGCAATACCGGGGTATATACGCGCGGCACGGCGCGGCGCGAGTGTGTGCTTTGTATGTGCTTAATCCCTACTTACTTGCCGCGAAAACCCTTTTATTTCTCGCCATCCTGGGGCTCTCTTTCTCCCAGGTCGTTGCCACGGTGCCGTAGGAGCGCAGAGAAGACGATGACGATAGCGGTGGGCGACGGCGCCAGTGCCGCCTTTTTAATTCCCCGCCCGCACCCGCGCATCCCCCTCGTTCCATCTCGCACCTTCATTCTGGTCCACCACCCACCCCCCCGCGTCTCTCTCCCTCCCGATTTTTACATTCGATCCGTGCGCCGCCACAGGTTGCGCTAATTAAAATTCCCTCCCGCTTCTCGCCGTTCACGCATCACACCGCCACCAAATTGTGATACTGGAGATTTAGAAAGAAGCTTGGTACACGTGCGACCATCCTTGTTTGAAGTTTTGGAAGACAGAGTTATCCAGTTAAGTTTTGTGGAAACGCAAAAGATAGAACAGTTAAATTCAACGTTATCGTTTAGGATAAGTCAAATAAGCGTTTTGGGCATTTTCCCTGCGAGAATCACCCTGGATCTTAACGCGCGTGCCACACGCGCTTTCTGTTTACAGCGGAAACGGCAAACTCGCCAGCTGGGCCGCCATCGTCGGTTTCTTGGTGATGATGTCCTTAGACGTTGGCCTAGGTTAAGGACATCGTCCCCAAAGTCGTCACGGCGCGTCCACAAACGTGTAAAAATCTTGTGGTAACGGTAACAAGTGTTCGCAGTCGTGACAAGACGTCACCTCAATTCGTGGCATTCACCGAACAATAGCACGTCTTCTCGTGCAAAAGTAAAAAAAAACAAATATATAAAAACCGAGTGCCAGCGATAAACGAATGTTCTCCAGTCCCGACGTGTATTTTTTATCCGCTGTTGCGTACGGCATACTTTTATCCTTAAAGACTCAGGAAAATCGAACGCTAGCGAAATAAGGAGTGTTTCCAATCAGATTCGAGGTATCACTTGTCGTGATTCCTGACAGCCATCGAGAGAGAAACTGAGACATAAGCAATAAATAAATTTTAAAATATTAATCATATCATAGTGAAATGTGAAACTATGTTTTAAGATTTGTCTAATTCGACGTTCGGTTAACGAACTGTAGCGAAGGCTAAGTTGTGTAATCGCTCAACAATTTTCTAAACCGGTAGATATTTTTCTAGAACGCATTTCACTTCTCGAATGCATTTCACTTCGTAAATGTCTTCCCCATGTCTAGTCCTCGTCGATGCAATTCCAGAAGTCGAAGACACACGATAGCCTGGTTGACTGAACTTAAAATCGAATGTCGAAATCGATGTCTGTTAGGATTCACCGAGATAATTACAAGATCGATACAATCGCAAAAATTCTGTCGGTAGGTAAAGCAATTAAAACAGTGTGCAGCGTCGAGAACTGTCAGAAAAAAAAATCAATGTCTGAAGTTTTTTTTTCCATTGAAAATACAGTAAGTACGGAGAACTATATGACCTCACAAACGAATTAATTTTTTATCAAATACGTAGATAGATTTATATTATAGATATTGTGATATCTATACAAATCCACTTATTGTTAGACACGCAAAGGGTTCCAAGAAACTTCAAGCTATTTGTTCCTGTAAATATCCCCCGCCTGCATTATTTCTTATACATAATTTATAACGCGTTCTAAATCAGAAAAAATTTGATACGGAGTATTTTTTAAATAATAATAAAAGGACCATTTTTCTATACTGTTTTCTTTACGCCGTGATTCTTTTAATTATTTAAATATTGCTTTGTGTTTTGTGAAAAATACAAGTAACTTTCGATAACTTTCAGTACCAAGTAACTTTCGATTTTAACATTCTGATTATAGTTAGGGAGATAAAATTCGGGATTTTCAACTTCTGAATCTTTAAATAACGAATTCAGAATATTTTCCTTTTTTTTACTATTATATATCATAACACACATTATTTATTACTTATTTTAATTTATATCAGCATCAATATTGAGTTAACTTCTTAATTCTGTTATTTGTATTCTATCGAATTTGATTTTATATTTTTTTGTTTTTTTTTTGTTTTTATTTGTATATATTTTTTCATTTAGAATATCAAAGTGAGATAGGCAGAATGACGATTGTCTATAATAACACTCTTTTTATTTTATCAAGTTTCCAAGTAAAATTCAGTTTTTCCCCGAAAGACTATCGATTGTTTCATTAATTAGCTCCAAAATATTTATTATTTAATCAACATCCGAGTATTCTGTTACTGACAAGTATTGTTATGAGTATATAAAAAAGATGATAAGATTGAAAGAAAACAGTTTTTATTCACATTAATATTAAATCTGATGTGGCGATCGTATTGCGAGGAGCTGCGCGGCAGCTTTTTGTGCCAAAGATCTAACTAGTTCAAATCCACTCAGAACAATATAAATCTAAAATCGATTTTCTTGTCGCTTCTTGTGGTTGTTTGCCCAGTTTTGATTTAGAAACTATAGTTGGTCTCATTGGCGAATCAATATTCAAATATGCATTTTTCGGTTTATCTTCCAAGGACTCTAATTTTTTCTTCATCAAAGGGGACTTTTTTATTGCCCTTCTTATTAAGACTTTTTTGACTACTGAAACCTTTTTTGGCGTTCTCGCCACAAAAGCCATGCGAGAGGATGTCGTTGATGCGGCAATAACGGAACTTTTAGCTCTGTTGGGTCTTTTGTTTTTTGGTTTTTTGACGGACGAGTTTATTCGCGAGACATTCGCGTAATTGTGTAATCACTAAGTCAAATTCTGTGTTTCTTGTCGCTTCTTGTGGTTGTTCGCCCAGTTTTGATTTAGAAACTATAGTTGGTCTCATTGGCGAATCAATATTCAAATATGCATTTTTCGGTTTATCTTCCAAGGACTCTAATTTTTTCTTCATCAAAGAGGACTTTTTTATTGAGCCCTTCTTATTAAGACTTTTTTGACTACTGAAACCTTTTTTGACGTTCTCGCTACAAAAGCCATGCGAGAGGATTAATCGATTTGGAAGCGACCACCACCTCTCGGAAGGCAATGGCCAACCGAGAGTATCTCTGCTAAGAAAACTTCTTCTAATTGGCCGTTCGAAATCGGCGTTGAAACTGTAGGTCCCATATGTCTAGAGATATATGTAGAAAAGAGGTCGCTTTTCGTTCGGGACGGCCGACATACAAAGAAGAAAAATATTAATAAAACAATAAATTTCTATAGGATTCCCAAAATTAAAAATAACAATGAAAAAAGACGATGGGAATCAGTGTGGTTAATAATACGCAGTTCAATATTAAAAAGAGTTCTACATTAACATTTGTCGGTGAAATAAATGTGAGAGTAAAACTCTATGTTTCAATATTGAACTGCGTATTATTCACGCTGTTCTTCCCATCGCCTTTTTTCATTGTTAATATTAATAAACCTGTAAAATTATTGTTGTCATAGAATAAAGAATTATTTGAAACAAGATGCAAATCAAATGTTAAGATTTATATCTTGTTTGTAATAAAATTCTTTACTCTATAATAAAAATAATTTTACAAAGTTTATTATTTCAGATAAAACGCTTTTCAAGAAGCTTCCAACTTATTTTTTCTTATACCATTTGTATGAGAAGAAGACAAGTATTGAGCTCTATTGCTTTCATTACATAATGATCCCGCGATTATGTCTTTCATATGAAACCGTTACATCAATCTCTAATAGTATATTTTTTAATTTAGTACTTGCGAGATCTAAACCGCGGTTTGATCACGGAATTAGTGCGTTCTCAAATCATCATTCGCATGTTTTTGATTCACCGCCGCCTTATTCATTCCCCACTAATGAGAGGCCCACCATCGCATTATGCAAATCCGTTTACGCCTTTCTGAAACGGAGTTCTCTCTCTCTTTCTCTCAAAAGAGTACGGAATTTCGCAACGTGCATGTGTCTCCCGTGCGCGCACGCAATCACCGACTACGCTCTCGTGCCTGGTAGGTAAACCTATACGCATATTTATTGCGTTACAATGTGCCCTTTCTAATCACAGACCGCGCGCACGGTGCAATTTCGTTCTTGTAGCGACGTGCCGTTTATCCCGGAGCACGTAACGAGGTTGCCACTATACCCGTTGGCGCAAAAATAGATCACCTCGCGGAATCCGACACACGCCTATCTTGTCTGCGGTATTTCCTTTAAAGAAACGTCTAAGCTAAATCATCAGATCATCATTAGATCATTATGAAAAAAAAATTGTATAGTGCTATTTAAAGGTCTAATTAAAACTTTTTATGAAAAATTTTTTTTTATTTTTTTTTTGGACCGCAAGTTGTAGCTTACATAAAATTAATGAATATTCTTTTTTTACCATTTTTGTTTGAAACTATCATAGATATTTAAAAAATTGTATATGTATATAAAAAAAGATAAATATAGATATAAAATTTGTTATTTTTGCCTTCAGAACATTGGTTTTCCTAATTCCGAAGCTTCTTTATACGTTTATATTTATTCCCAGCACGTACGATACGAATCGTAAATCGTATTCTGTTTTTATTAAGATCGCTGCCAATCGATATCCAAGATATTCCTCGACAGACGTATCCGCAGTAATTGAAATGCTCAGATCGATCATTGGTATCCAATTCTCGACGCTGTACGCTTACATAAGATATAGAACTATATATTTTGATACACACTGTCGATAAACCATCTTAAAGTATTAGCGATATGTACGTGTGCCCACGTATGTATGAAATCGTGATGTAAGAGGGCACGATGGAACCTTGTCGTCGACGACACTAAAGCAACAGCGATCTCATTGATTTGCAATCAGGAGTTGATCCCGAATCGTTAAAAGCAATACGGTTGCTTAACGTTAATAAGTATCATTACATCGACCCGCCGTTATAATTAATTTCACGTTCGGATTGGGGACCAACTTTATAATAGGTGTTCCATTACGCTGTCGCTATTGCGCGCAACGTTACATCCTGCCCTCTTACTTTTCAGGTCTAGAACTATATATGTATATTCCTCTATATTAATTTCATTAGATAGGATTCGATAGACATTCGTCTGGTGTCGCGAACGTTCGAGAAGCGTCTCTCGCGCGATGTCTTTAAACGTTAAAACACGACGAATCGACGAGAACTGTCCGTTTAGCATTTACTGGGAACAGATCGATGCTACTTTTATGAAATTGATGCTTTACAAGACTATAAGATTGTCAATTCCAAGAGTCAATTGGACCTTCTTGCGAAGAATTTTTCTTGTCGCGCGGATACAATCGCTGATAGAGCTTCTCGGCGATCCCTCAATCCGGACGATCGGTGCAATTTATTATTCGAAGAAAACCACCGACGCTCGGTTTATATTAAACCAGTGCGAACGAGCATCAGCCGTTACAAAAGCTTCGATGATAGGAGCGAAGGTCATCTCGATCAACGGTCGGGCGGCACCAGCATCACGTCGACGATATTACGACGACTTGCGCAAGCGGTGCTTTAGCGAAATGTATCTTCTGTAATTAATAATGTAATTACGCGAATTATGTGATTATACGAATTATCATATTGTATAATCTATTAGGTAGGTTGGCACAGTCAATTGTAAAACGCGCGCGGACATTTATTGTAAATTGGTTAAAATTTACGTCCCGCCCGCGTGCCGCTTCGTTGATTTGGCGATTAGTACTTTATTGACGACAGCACGTTTTTGTTAATTAAGATATACTTTAATAGCGAATATTGTCTGACAGAAAACGCGTTTGCACATCGCGCAAATTGATTGGTTTTTTTTTTCTGATAATTTTTACAGAAGGTGTGAGTGTTGAGATTTTCCTTTTCCGATTAAATTAGGTGCCTTCGTAACTTAATTAGGATTACTTGTTTAAGCAGGACGCCAGTATTTGGTGAATAGACGGGAACGACTGATTCATTGTCCGCCCGTTCGTTATCACGCATAGATTAAATTGATGATTCGTCCCGGAATCTTACACACGCTGCGTATATATATATTCAAGAAATATTCATTTATCGCGAATTCAGTGCTGCGGTGTAATAGGTTTTTAAAGATGTGCAATAAAAAAGAAGTGCATTATAAAGCGTAAACATACGCGACCCGCAGAATTCCATATTCTTTTCCTTAAGACTAATCTACAAATCGATTGCTCCACAGTTTCGGGAAGTAATAGGTACGTGTCCCTTGACAATCCAGCTCCTCTTCCTTTCTATCCGAGACGGTAATAGAGTTCTCTCCTATCGTTGCATCAATGCTCTACTTACTTATTTCCAGAGAAATAAAGATTTTGGAGCAACATCTCCTCATTTGTAAAGTGATTGATACGAATGTAATATAGGTGGTGTTACACCGGAAAGGAAGAAGGAGCGCTTGTCGTATGGGCAAATTGTCGACGGTAAGTTATCCAACTTCTCTCTCTCTCTCTCTCTCTCTCTCTCTCTGCATCTATCTTTGTATATCTCTTTCTCGGTTCAGGCGCGGTAAAGTGACGGTGTGCAATGTCGGCGCGGCGCATACCCTCGCCTCGCGTCTCTCTCTCTCTCTCTCTCTCTTCCCGAGTGAGTTGCATAACCCGAGGAGAACCGAGACATGAATGGAGCCGAGCGGCGTGCGACAAGGACAGTCGCATCGCCGGCTCGGTTTCCCCGGTGCGACGAGTGCGAACGCGCGTTGCCGGTGGTAGGGCGCACTGACCGAGGAGGATGCCAGTTTGGGTGCAGTGGCGGAATTAGGAATAGATCTCGTGGGCGCTCCGCGTAGCGCCGAGATGCGAAAGCATCTGTTTTTGGCGCGGCGCTTAAGAGGATGCTGAATACCGACATTTGCATTCTAAGTAATAACTCCGAAACGACTGAACGGATTTGAAAACGCTTTTACAGGATTGAAATTGAGATAAAATGTAAACGCGCGAATTATAAATTTGTAGTTAAAATGAAAAAATATTAAAAAATTACCTTTTTTCCGCATCGTAGAGCAATCTTAACCTCTCACCTGACGTAAACATTTCATTGATACAAAAGTTCTGTAGCTCAAATGTACAAAAAAAATAAATTCGCGCGAATCGGAATACTTGCACGAATAATATAAGACCTTTGAGATCGGAAGAGCACACG